GGTGTGGATACGGCGGTCTTTTGGTGAGGTTGGCTGAGTTGTTTCCCGAGAAGTTTAGTATTGGCTTTGAAATTAGAGTGAAGGTTGCTTGCTTTTATTTATTTTATTTATTATGTATATAATATTTATTATGTGTATAATATTTATTATGTATATTTATTTTAATGGATGATTAAGGTGAGTGATTTTGTTGTGGACCGAATCAAAGCTCTACGAGCAGTTGCAAATGAAAATGAAGAACAGTTGATTAAATACACGAACATCAACTGCATCCGAACGAACGCGATGAAGTATCTGCCGAATTACTTCTGCAAATCGCAACTCTCGAAAATATTCTTCCTCTACCCCGATCCACACTTCAAGAAGTGCAAATTTAAGTGGCGTATTATATCGCCGATGCTGATCGCCGAGTACGCGTTCGTTTTGAGAGCGGGTGGTGAGTGTTTTGCGCTGTTATGCATGCAGCTGATTTATTTATAAATATAAACTATATTCAGGAATGGTATACACTCTGACTGACGTGAAGGAATTGAGCGAGTGGATCGTGAAGCATTTCAACGCGAGTAAATTGTTTAGGGAAATAGTTATAGATGATGAAGCGATCAGAAGTGACCTTATAATAGAGTTATTATTAACGGACGATCCGAGTGAGGAGGGCAAGAAGGTGAGTAGGACGGGGGGATGCAAGTGGTTGAGGTGTTTCGAGAGACTGCACGATGATGGCACCTGATTTTTTAATATTATTGTTATTATTATTATTATTAAGTGTTGTTATTATTGTGTTATGATGTGATTGTTATTATTGTTTAGATATTCGTGATTTAATTACTGTTATGTTTATTGCTTATTGTTGTTTATTATTATTAATTATAGTTTATGTAGTGAAAGATATTGATTATTGTTATTGTTTGATAATAAATATTAATAATAATTATTGTTAATTAATGAGTGTGTTGCGTTGAGAGTGCGTTAAACTCGCTTGATTATAGTGTTTTGGGTTGGTAATTGGTTAAGGTATAGGGTCGTGCTTAGGGTGCGTTTTGGGGGGGTTGTTAATTCGTTTTATTTATTATTATTATTGTTTATTATTATTATTGTTTATTATTATTCATTATTATTTATTATTATTATTATTTATTATTATTATT